TCAGCTTCACCCAGTTATAAACAGCGTGCATACGAAAATGAAGCTATAGAAGAGTGCACTATTTCATCATCATTATCACCATCTTCACCAATACACATTGGTTGAGGGTGAGAAACACATATCGGCTAATGTGCCGCAATACAACGAGATAAGACTAAAAAATTACACTTCAAAAAAGATTCTAAGCAAGTAATATGAGGTTAAATATTATTGTATGGGCTTTGTTTGAGGTCGAGATTGGAGGGGAATCTAATGGGTAGCGGGAGGGACAAAGAAACTCACAACATACGCCATATTAGCAAGTGTGTCAAAGCAAACGTGTTCATCGTCCTTAGGATCCTAGCTAGGGGGTAGAGATGCACCAACCGACGCCAGCTTCGAAGTGAGCGTTTGAATTTCTCTCCACTAAGTCATCGCTTGGCCTCCCCTCCTCCTCTTCCAACCACACCCACGGCGCGCACACAATGAACATCGCGGGAGTCGGGGTGCTGGCATGTGCAACACGTAGCCAAGCCATCAGAGCCTGGTGCGTGATATAATGGCGCTGAGCGGATCACTCGCTCTGCCTGCATCAAGTACGTGAGGCCGAACATGCTCGTTGCTCACAAGGTGCTCCCACCAGACATGAGCTAAGCTGTGAAGGCAACGATGAACGAAAGTGACGAGCCTATTTATGTCTCTCGACCTAATGGGCTAGGTTTTACAACCGTATAAGAGAGTTGAACGGACAGCTGCATTAGAAACTCGGCCCTTCAGGGCGAGAGTGATGTCGCGGCTGCGCCACAGGTGGCGGAGGTTGGCAAACGCACTTCGAGATGTTGTTATGGGGTTCGTAAGCTTAGCTTCGATCCCACGGGCGCTAATGTAGCCGCTCAGGTACATGAATTTCTGAATGACTGCTAGCTGATTACTACCAAGCGTCAGCGCATGGGTGGGCCCCTGCCCATCTAGGAGGACTTTGCACTTCGATGGAGAAAAGCATAACCAAAAAGGATTGACAGCCAGTGCTAATCGGTCCAGTGCTGCTTGGCACGTTTGATGGCTGTCACAGATTAGGGCAATATTCTCTGCATACTCCAATTCAAGAAGTCGCTCATCATGAAGCAGCTTTATACCTTCTAAGTCGTGTTCTACGAATGCTGTTTCCATGATCGTCAATTGCGAAGTTAAAGAGGAAAGGTGACAGAAGGCAACCTTGTCTCACAGTGCTGGTGCTACTGAAGGGCGACGACAGTTTACCATAAACCCTCACTCTGCCCGAACTAAGGGCGTACGGCGCTTTGATAATACTTACCATTTTTCAGGCACACCTTTCCTCAGCAGATAGTACAAAATGGCATATCGATCGACTAAATGCTAGGCAGATTTTATGTCAATAAACCTGACTACGTTGGGTCGCTAATAAATAGCGGTGCTCGCAACGAGACGAGCTCTTAACGCGGTACGACGGTTCGCGTACAACATTGACCCATTGAGCTATACTGGGTGTGCCTCCAGGCAACTTGAGAACTACTCCTACCAGGTTGGTCAATGGTGTGAGGTCATAAAAACTGTCTCCTGGGCCTCCATGTTGGGGTTTGAAATGGGATGGCGTCCATATCTGTAAAACTAAACATTTGCCACCTCTCCGCTGCCCCGTGGACAGGTTTTGAGCCAAAGGCTTTGGATGAGGACACTAATCGTCCTCCTGTTTAGGTCTGGTCCCAGGGAGTAGGGTAATCAATGCCCGAAAAAGCAAGCAACAACTCAGATTGATTAAATTACCTTGCAGAGGATTCGGCCCTAGGCTCCAAGCGTTTTGACAGGCTGTGGATCGGCTGCTTATTCTCGTCGCGCATGGTCCCGCTAACCCCAGGTTTCTTGCTGCCTGTTTACTATAAGAGACGGAATAACTTACGATGACTACCAACGGCAGCCGCTGTTTCCATTTCCGAGGCAAACAGACAAAATAATGTGTCAGCTGTACGCCTTAAAGGCGCCTCGCTGCCGTGCGACCACCACCAGTCGAAAGGGGATTTAGTATACCGCGAGAATGCTCACCCTTAAGCGGATTTGAACCCACTCCACAAGATTACGAGACTAGCTCGTTGTATCTAGGCTATGGGCCGAGTATTATAAGCCTACCAGACTTCTTAGTCGATCTTCAGACTATTATGCAGTTTTACCCTGAACATTTTACGAGTTTCATTGTATTCGCTTCTAGCCAGAATAAGTCGGCGAGCATCCATATATGCCAGAGACTGTGTAGAGACCTAGTGTCCAGCTTGGCGATTTGCTTTGCGACATGAAGACATGCTTGCTGATAAGGTTTGGTGAATACACATCCAGTAATCTTCGACGGTGTTCAGTAGGAGTTTACTCAGCCCGGATGCCAGTGTACTTTGGTACACATGCAGGACACCTGAATTCGCCAGCTGGTTGGTGTCAATGCGCTCGCATCCAAATTGCGGATGTCCGCCGAAACGCATCAGAAGGTTTACGCGCACGTGCGCGTGACAGAAGTTCACGCTCGTGCTCCATATCCAGCTACAGTTTGGACGCAGACTCTTCAGAGTTAACTGATCGTGATATGATCGATTTGCGTCCATAGCTGTTACGAGGCTGGTGAGCACCAAGTCACACTTCTGCGGGCGCTGTGTCGAAAGTTTGTGCTCGCGAGCAAGAGACGAGCATCTTCACACAGGTGTAGTAGTCGCACACCGTTATCCTTAAGGGAGTTTGCACCATGCTGACCGCCCAGATGAAGGTCATCCGAGGATAATTTTCCGACGTAGGCGTTTAGATCACCAGCCAACACTCACTTGCGTGCTACTTCTATAACGAAGGAGGTAGTTAAGTTGGTGATAGGAATCATCTTTCACTGGATCAGTGCTACCGTTTGTTAGGGCGTTGGCCGCAATGACAAACAAACGCCATTTGTCCCCACGCGACATCGAAGCATGGAACGAACCAGCTAATCTAGCGGCGCACGTCCGGCTGTTGACTGGGATGCAAACGATCAAAGCAGCTTCAGTCCGGTGGCTCAAAACTGTGCGACGCCAGCTTGACCGGCATTTGGAGCTGCATCATCGTCGAGGGGCGCAATGAGAATGCGCCGCTAGCGTCGCATAGGAGGGAAACCAAGGTAAGCACGGAGCTCGAATCTTGCAGGTGAGTTTCCGATACATAGCAAATATCGATCGATAGGGTCTCTAGTGTTCAGGCAAGTGCTGCCTGTTGGCCAATTTGCAGCAAAGTGCGCACGTTGAAGCGTGCCAGTTTAGTGAAGATCAAGGACTCCAAGGGGAAAGGTGTGAACGGATGTGGTCCGCTTGATTGAACATAAACTTGTCAACTGGATTGGAGCGATGGCCCGCGATTGCGTGAGCTGAAACTAGAAGACCAGCGACTATTGAAGCAAGGTGGGATGGAACAAGTATAGGAGGATTGAAAATGGGGGATAAAAGTAAAATTGGAGCGGGACGATATGGATAGTAAAGCGCAAAAAAGAATAAGACGGGAAGGCTTGAGCAGTAGCATTCAAACACCTATCCACCCTGCTCGATTCAGCTGATAGGGTGCCGTTAATTATCCTCTGCGACGGCCAAAGCATCAAGAAATTGTTGGAAGAAAGCTTCGTTGTATTGCTTGGGCAGAAAACTCTCAGGTTGCCCAGGCCCAGTGTTAGGTGGTGCACCTTCTAACGGACGGAGCAGTGAAACCAAAGAGCAAAAACGTCTATCCATTTTCCAGAAATCGAGCAAGAGAATTACATTGGTTAACCAATGGATGGTTCTCGCAAAATCTACTACTATTATCAGTAAGTAAAGACTAGAAGATAACAGAAGAGATACAGGAAGGTCGCTACGAGCAAATATCGGTGATCTGCGCTCTGTAAGCTTCCCGTGTCTGGCGGCCATTACACTGTGTCTACGACATTGCCTTTTGATCGGTGAATTGGGGGCGGGCAGCTTTTCAGCGAACAATCAATCGGAGCGGCAGGGGCAACCTTGGTAACCATAACAACTGGCGACAAGAGGCATACGAAAACGAAGCAGTGGAAGCATGCACAATTTAGGAATTCGTATCTCAAAGCTAAGCGTCAAACCCAGCAAGGGTTGATAGGAGTCGGTGTCACAAGAGGCTACCAACAGATTTCCAACTTATGATGGGCAGGAATACAGTAAAGTTTCATGAAATAACACGCAGAAGCAACGAATTGTGGTAGCATATAAATGACACTTTCTGCAGGGCATGAGCACCCTTTCAGATGGATTGTTTCAAAGCAACGTAAACAGCAAAACAAAAGTATTCAACGGCTATTACTAGGCGTGCATACAAACGTTTGCCGAAAATTCCGTTTGTCGTAAGTTAGCATAGAGGAAACTAGTATCAATCTGAGTGTGCAGATTTGCAAACATTTGGTAAAAGTATTAGAGAGGGTACATAACGATAGTCTCCGCACAAATGTAATGTCATTCCCAAACTAGGTATAATTAAGCTAATCATAATGGCAACCCGGTAACAGACAGCGAACTTGGATACCTTGCCAACACACTAAGATTGATCTAGTAAAGCATAAAATTGAATCGCAAGTAGAGGAACGCGAAACACATTTCTTCATGTACGCTGTCGAGAATTGAAAACTGAAAGGAGCTACTGATAACTAAAGGCCCAAACACAGTTGCGCCTACCGATGGTGTGTAGCTACACGCCTCGCAGATTCTGAAAACCTTTTTGAGTTACTTGAGCACTTGCATCCAAGGATTGGAGTCTCGCACTGGTAAATAACAATGCGTTGAACAGTGATCCTTAACAAAAGATCCCTTGGCCACATTCGTTGAAGCAATTTTCGAAAATATAACTCATGTACTCGCGATACAGCATCTCACAGCCCATGAAATAACCAACAATACTGTGGAAGAATAGTAGCAGTACCAATAACTTTTCGGAACAAAAGAATACATCACATGTCGGCCGCAAGAATTTGCACGCTAAGTTTCTGCACATTAGAAACATACCGTGTAGACGTTTCATTCACCGCAGCAGAAAAATTGTCAACGGTGATAGGTCGAGTGCCATGCAATTAGTAGGCACGGCTAATGCCTGAATGTTCAGGGTCGAAGTTAGTGAGAATGTGAGAGTAGCACAGCACACGTACATATCGGTTCGAGATTCAGAATGCCTCCGAGTCCATCACAAGAAGCTGATGAGGCTGGAAAGCAGATCAATAACTTATTGCTTGATTGAGTGGCATTATGTCAAGCCCCTAGTAACACACCAAGCTAGATGGAAAGTGTGGGACAGGAAAATATAGGATGAGATTTAGAGACGAAACAAGCCTTCGATTACCAATCGTTTCGTTTCGTGTGCCAGTAAAGGAATGGAGCTCCAGACAATTCGACTTGATAGTAAAAACATGCGTTTATGACGGAAAAGATGATAAGGAGCAAAACTACCACAACATTTTCACAAAGTTGCCTAAGTTACTAGCACGTGGTTAAGGGCTGCGATGTACTCCCATAGAAATTTGTGGAATATGGCCAACCAACTTGTATCTAGGCAACGCTTGAAATCCTGAACCGTCTTACATTCCAACAACGCACGGAGAAGTTTCTTTCAGCTGTGCAAAAGTCAATTTCATTGTTGTAGAAGGTTGAGGAAGGCTCCAAGACAGCCCCATCACCTCCAATTCAGCGCAGCAGCACGTCATTGCAACCAGCAGTCCTAGTGGGCTGAAACAGTTGCCACCCTGATGCCTAACACAAGTGGGAGTGTAACAGCCAATAGAAAGCTTCCTCAGACTGAGCACTGTTAACGCTCTCTAGAAGGCGGTTCTAGTGGTTCACCACTTAGTTTGTCCTCCATGCCTCTTTCGTGATAAAATGGAAGTTGAACAAGTCCTGCGGTCCAAGACGAAAATTGTGCACGGATTAAAGAAGCTGAGGTACCTGGAGAGGCTACGTATGTTGGATGTGAGTTCCGTGTATCACAGGCGGTTTCGTGGCGACTTGATCCTCACGAATCTATTCTGATGGGTCAGGGTCTTGGACACAAATTAAAGTTGTACAAACCCCGGTCTGACTGGGTTTGGGCAGATATTCGGTTATTGCGTAGGGTCATAACTTATTGGAAAGCACTGCCTGCAAACGTCGTGATCGCACCGACGGTGAAAGAGTTCGAGCATAAACTTGACGCTTTGGGTCTGCAGTTTAATGTCTTCCCCTTCATGCCTTAGGCTTTCTCGTCTAATACGGCATACGCCTCGTTAACTTATGTTATCTTATATCATAATATAGCGCACACAATTCAAAAAGCTTGTTTTGTCATCTGTTTTCTTTTATTCTTCACGTGGCCGGCACAGCGGTGACTGCACGTGGGCATTTTTTGGTTTACCATGTGAACCATGTGTTTTGATTTGTCTCCCCTTTGGCACGTCAAGGCACCGGTTTCCCTGATGGATCAACGTTTTCCAAGGTGGAACATTCGTGGGATTTTCCTACTGTTCCGGTCCCACTTGAACTTGTTTGGTTGACCATGTGAATCGTGTGTGTCGATTTGGCTCTCCTTCGGTACAGCAATGCGCCGGACTCCCTGTTGCATCAACGACGTTTTCGTAGGTAAAACATTCACGGGTTTTTCCTACTGTTCCTGTCCCACCTGAACTTGAATAACTCGGGTGGATGGGAAAAGAGAAGTTAACATGGAGCTCTTCGTTTTAAGGAGTTGCAAGTCGTGACCTCGTGTCTAACCTACCGTATTGATCTGCAAAGTCGTTGTAGTTCATTTCCAAGTTTCAACTTTAGCATGGGATTGGTGAAGACGACCATAGACCAGACGATAAATAGATAGGCGACGGTGGAATAGTGAGTAGGGTGTTCTGCGAACCTGTATCTTATATAGACAGTGTTGTAAACAGGAAAGGTGGAGAAAAAAGAAAAAAGAACGATAGATGTCTAAACAGGACGCAGCGACCTCTTACTTTTAGGAGAGATATGCAATAGGTGATAGTCATTTGGGGCACGTATATTTGGAGTCAGACTGCGAATAAGATGGCATGTAGGAGTGAGTAGGTAAACGTGATAATAATTGCCCTGAAAAATACTAAAACAGATATGTCAAACAAAACGTTGGAGGAACCTAGACCCGATTTAAAATGCTATTAGTTGCAGTCAGATGTCTCCGCAAAATTGACACCTTAGTTTATTTGCGTTCCATTTACTAAGCTAACGTTTGCCCAAGTCTTTGCTTCATAGTATTCTGTTGGTGTTAAAAAACCATAGCCATTTTGCATGCAACCTTTTTCAATGTTTCTCCACGAAGGTTTTCAGGGTACTTTTGCATTCTCGTAGTATTATTTTCCCGTGCTGGAACCGAAAAAATAACTAATTATTACGAATGCGCCTGTGGTAAGAAAGCACTTACACACCAAAAGCAATCATAAGTACTATTTGTACAACAAATCTATGTGTATTGGATGTATAGCGTAACATTCACAAATCTTTCGTTGCGCAGTTCCTATTGGCTTAACCCACCCGGAGTGCGTCAAGGTTGCGTTTAAACTCGCAGCAGAAGCGATATATCAAAGCTTATTCGAAAACGCACTCCGTATTTACTTTAACATACCTGCGCACTAAGTGCAAACACGGTCGCTGTAAGCTAATTTATAATACTGGCGGCAATTATTTGCACATTTCACCAACATTCGCATGGGAAGTTGTATCTTCAAATTTATCCATTCACTAATGTGTTTTACCATAAAACTTCCAATACCCGTGCTTCCGGTTGTATTCTATGCTATCATTTTTCATACAACGCTCATCATTTTGCAAAAGAGGTTAGGAAAAGCGAGTTTATGAAAGGTTTTCACCCACACCGGAAATTGAAATCGCTGCTTGCAAGGTAGATATCCATGGTTGTCTCTTTTTCAGTTTACTTCTCTTTTCATGCTTACCAGACTGAGCTGCTGGCTTTTCCATATAGCTCGGTCCCTCCATTGGTTGACTGTCCTAAATTACCCAACCACGGACGCAGTTTCTTCTTCGTTTTTCGGCCTCATCAGTTTATTTTAATGGACCATATGTAATACTTATTCTGCACATGCGTGTGACCTGCAATCCTCCCTGATTTCAATGTGTTCCTTCCTGATCAATTGGATCTTACCAGCTCCTTTTAGAATCATTACCCACTATATAGATCAAATTGTTTGTGCCAAAATTTAACCATTCTTTTACCGCGCACAAATGCGTTGCATTTCAAAAACGCATTAGAATATAAACTGCAGTGCTTCGAAAGATAATGATACTCGCGCCGTTAAAGAGCGCACTTGTAGAATACTGAAGTTTCTCCGGTTTGCCTGTGTAAAATTCTGACTAAAATTATTTCCTTGTACGCTTAGTCAACCGGTGTGGTTCATGGAACAGAGTGCTGCGTTCGATGCTAGACTTGCTGAGCGCCATTTTTACTTGGCACTCGTTTCGATTGAACCTCACAACTGCCCCCTGTGCTGTGTGTGTATTTCCTTCCAGTAGATACTGCTTCAAGTGTGTCGTTTCTTCACAGCCAGGTAACAGGAGATATTTTACTGTAACAAAAAAGTTTCCTTGCAACCCGATCTGCTTTTTTCTATTCGCTCTCCGTGCTCCCAGTACAGGCTACTCGCTAAATTGGTGAGCCCGAATCAGGAAGAAACTCTGAACCGGATATTTCTAACTTTTCTCCTTTGAGCTTGTTCCATTTATTTTCCATGCTTTTCGGTTTATTTTTGCTCACGGTATCCTATTATATGAGCCATTTTTAAAACATGGTATCTGTAGACCCCATGGTTGAGTCTCTCCTTAACGTTGTAAATCTCCCTGTGACAGGTTTTTGGGGCATGTATCCTCTTTTTTGGTTCGCGCATCTTGAGGTTTAGTTTTATAACCAGAGAATCACTTTCGACTACGCAAGTATAAAAAGCTACTTTCCTATCTCCCCAAGGAGATACCAAGGCAGGTACGAGAGGTTATCACTTAGACCGAAAACCGCTATGAGGCTCTAAAGTAGGCCACGATTAAACGTGCTATGCCCTCTGCGAACTTTCGCATGCAGCAGCTTTTCAGGGATCTGCAGTTGGGCGACAAACTGCCCTCAACCCTGCTACGAGAGATGCAGCAACTCTTTGGTTCCCCAACCCTGAAGGAACTTTACTTCGCGAACTATGGCTACGGCAGCTAGCAGAAAGCAAGCAAGCGATTTTTGCTATCGTGGGCCCCGTTTGGCTCACCCAACTAGTAGATTCAGCGGATCAAGTTATTAAACGATCACAGCCAAAAGCAGACGCCAGCAAGCGCAATGTCCTTTCGTCCAAGGACACTTCTAGAACTGACATTCAGTCAAATAAAGCAGCATGCAAACGCAACTCGCGGCATTTAGTCGCCAGGTTCACCAGCTTACTATGAACCGTCGTCGTCGTAGCCAATCAAAATCGCCCTACAAACGCTACAAGTCCAACAACAGGCAGACTTGCTGTCGGTACCTTCAGCGCTTTGGCACCGCAGCTCGTAAGTGTATCAAGCCTAGCAACTTTGCCGGGCACCAGGGAAACTTCTCGACCGGTCCGTAACAGCGACGAACGCGACCGGGCAACACCAAAGTTACCTCATCCGCCTTAGGTATTTAATTTCCGGCCCCGAGTTTCTAGTCGACACTGGAGCCGAAGTTGGAGCTATACCTCGTATTTCAGATGAGGTCGTTTTAATTTGGCCGACTAAGCTGCCTGCCGCCAATGACATACCAACCGCACTTTTCGGCGAAAGGCTGCTAACAATCAATTTAGGCCTCCGGCGAACATTTCAAATTAGAAGTCGTACATTTCGCTATCCTAGGCATAGACTTTCTTCAAAGCTTCAACCTCATGTTCGAGGCTAAAAGAAAAATGATCATCGACGTCAGGACACAGCTCAGTGTTATTGGGACTAGCGCTAAGGTGGCTGCTATCACCCCATTCGTGTCCCACCTCAAGCTTCACAGCCTTTTACAGAACTTAGCAACAAGCATCCTAACCTCGTTCGCGTTCTGAACGACTTACCTCCTGTGACGTCAAACGTCATGCCTCAAGTTTGCAATAAGGGTCCAGCTGTTTCGGTTAGGCTCTTGCATACTAGCTCCGGACAAGCTCAAAGCTGCTAAGGCAGAATTCGAGCAAATGCACGAACTGGGAAAATTTCACCCGTCCAAATGTCCATGAGCCTCAACATTACACAAGTTGCCGAAAAAACTCGGTGGCCGGCGCACCTGTAGTGACTATAGGGCACTTAACATAGTTACCGTCCTGGCTAAATACCCCATTCCGCACATGCATGGTCTAACTTCAGCTAGAGTTGGTAGCAAATTCGACCTAGTTCCAGCCTACCATTAGATACCTGTCGCGCCCTACAATATTGCTAAAACAGTAGTCATCGCGCCATTCAACTTATTCGAGTACCTCAGCATGCCTTTCGGCCCCAGCAACGCTGCTCAGACATTTCAGCGTTTTATTCATGAGGTAACGCGAGATCTCAAAGGTGTTTATCCCTATCTATATGACAGTCCCACCGCCAGCAATTCCGACGGTGAACCGCTTCCTAACCTCGACGCTCTCTCTCAACGCTTGAAGCGTCATGGGGTTACCGTCAACCTGGATAAATGCTAGCTTGGTCGAAGCTCCACGGACTTTCTTCTCCACCGAATATCCGCCACTGGTATTGAAGCTCTGCCAGACAAAATTCAGGCACGGAAGAACTATCCTGTTCCTAGTTCCTTTAAACAGTTACGCCGATTCCTTTTCCCGCGCAACAAATTATAGACCCTTTTTCCTAACTGCGCGAGCATTGTTCAACAAAGAACTGTCTTGCTTCGCGTTAAACAACGCTATTTTCATTTACCAGACGACGCTAGAATGTCTTTTGAGAAGCTCAAAGAAGCTATCTCCAACACAGCGCTTCTCGCCCACCCAGACCCATCTGCACCGCTCTCCCTGACAACGGACGCATCCGACACCGCCATCGGTGCAGTTCTTCGAGAACTCATCGACCATCGATGGATACCTCTAGCTTTCTTTTGAAAAGCTTACAACCGGCCGAAACATGTTACAGCCCCCTCGGTAGGGAACTGTTGCTACCTACCTAGGTATCAGACATTTCCGTCACCATCACGAAGGTCGACATTTCACAGTCTTCACTGACCACAAGCCATTGATCTACGCAATCAATGGCGCACCGGACAAGTATTCCCCTCGGGTAACTAGACACTTAGACTACGTTTCTCAGTTTATGACAGACGTATGACATGTCTCAGTTGCTCTTAATCCCGTCGCGGATGGGCTTTCTCGCATTCATAAGATCAGCTCATCGATTGGCACTAACATTGATATAGCCGCTATGGCTGCTGCCCAACAAGCTGATCCCGACATAGACAAGCTGCGAAGCAACACATCATTGAAAGTAAGCGAAGTTTCACTAGCTTCATCTGAGGGGACCATTCTTTGTGACGCCTCCAAAACGTCTCCCCGACCTGCAGTTCCTACTTCGATGCGTCGACCAGTTTTCACCGCTTACGCAACCTGTTTTATCCCGGCATACGTGCTCCGCAGAAGCTCATAACCGAACGCATCATATGGCCTAACGTCCACCGCGTAGTCCAGCATTGGGCAAGCGCATGCTTAGAGTGTCAGCGCGCCAAGGTATACAGGCGCATCAAAAGCTTATTTGGCGTCTCTCCCGCTCCTGACTCTCGTTTGGCACACGTCCATATCGACGTGGTTGAACTTTTGCCCCGTGCAAATGCTACGTGTACCTCCTTACCTGTGCCGACCGATTCACCCGTTGGCCAGAAGCGATTCCGACAGCCAACGGCTCATCTGAGACAGTTGCACGAACCTTCCCAGAACTCTGGGTAGCTCAATTTGGTTGCCCAAGCGTAGTCATCACCGACAGCTGATCACACTTTAATTGCTTCTTCAGAAAACCGCGAAAAGTACTTGGTTGCCAACACAACCGAACCACCGCATATCTACCCGCAGCAAATGGGATGATAGAAAGCTTCCACCGGCAAGTCAAAGCATAACTCTGTACCCAATCTAGCACATCTTGGCACGAAACACTTCCGCTCGTAATCTTAGGTAC